GGGGGGCCCCCTCCCCCCCTCCCCCCCAATGCAGCGAAACAAAACGGTGGGCCATCATCGTAAGCTAAAGCTTCAAGTCCGTGCTGCCTGCTAATGCCGAGACAATGGAAAGTCAACCGGAGTACCGGACTTCTTGAACGGAATCAAACTTGCAGTAATCCGGGTTCAGGGCTACGATGCTTGCTACCCCATATATGAAGCCGTGAAGAGACGAATGGGTCCACATGGATTGATATGGGAAGGGGGGCCTCGAGACCCCCAAGCTGCGGAAGGTCTGGTAAAATAGCGCCTCTGGCCCGTCTATGCCGCTATGAAATGTACAGGCTCTAGACTACAGAGAAGCGAGACACTGGACTGCACTGGTCTGGATTAGACAAGACTAGACCAGACTCGCCACACCATTTCGTGGGAAGTAGAGCAAGCGCCCAGTCGGGGCCCAGACCAAAACTTCGAACTATCACACAAAACAGTTAAATCAAAATCCAGTTGAAGATCTTGACAGGAAGCTCCGAACAGTTAGCGGAGATCTCTTGTTTGATACAGCCAGGTTTAGGGTAAGCATCGGTTCGGAGCCACGAATGTGTTCATTCCCGAACAAGGTAAATACGTTAGTCACGATGATCGACTTATTTAAGGAACGTCTATTTCGAAGCTGATAGGGCCGATAGGGTTCAATTCAACTTCAACTACTCATATCTACAAATACGGACGGGAAACCAGCCAATAAAATCATGGTAAAACGAAATTATCCTAGTCTGCAACCAAACAATGCCCGGAGGAGACGGGATGCAGGAACTCGACCAGAAACAATTAAATCAGGAGTTCTCTGCTTGTTCGATGCATGCACAGGCAATGAAAATCTGATTCATTGAATAGCATCGCTGGAAGGCTAATGGCGAACCATTACGTCCAGATCTAAATTCTCATTTTCTGGATTCATTGAGCATCCCTGCGATTTGTACTTGGTGACCACACTAAAGCTGCTATTACTGTCGCCGAGCCCTCAGTCCCCTTCCGACTTGCCTCTTCTGTGCGCTTCTTCTGGCAAGATTGGTGTAGTGTAGTCAGAACCGTGCTCACATCAGGACTGGGCTTGCGCCTTGCTTGGTCTTTGCGCTTTGGCGTCCTTCTGTTGCTCCATATTTCTTCCCAGCTCGATCGTCTTCGTTGTGTCCATGAGGCGTTGAGCTTTGTCCTCATTTTCCAAGTGCCTCCCGAGCAAAGGTTGGATGTCAATCTATCAGTATCAACTTGCATCACAAGGCCAAGCAAGCCGTGACGGCACTGTGCCAGAATGCGCCAGACAAACAGATGGACAGACAAACAGAGAGACAGACAGACAGACAGACGGAAGGAAGGACGGACAGATTGACAGGCAGACAAACACCTGCAAGCGACACATCAAGTTAACTCATTCTGTTTAAGTCCTGCTTGCATAAGATGCGCCAACTACCAGCCCAGTGGTATTCCTCTCTCGCGACTTGGCTCAGCCAGCCAGCCAGCTACTGTGCAAAGCCACAGATAGAGAGAGCGAGAGAGTCGTTTCTTTCAGCCTCAACGCTGCAAAACGCCTTCTAAGGTATTTTGCGGCACTCTCTTTCTGGAAGGATGCTTCGTTGATTCACGGGGGGGCTGCTGGCGACGTAGGGCGTAGAAGCAAAGTAGGGGAAGTGGCCTCGCCATCTAGATGGTCGCTGAAACCAATGAGCGGTCTGCTCAGTTTTAGAAGCACCGACAGAATGCACGAGCACGTTAAGAATCAAAGAGTAAGGAAGCAATTTCCCACCCGTAGCACCAGCCACACCACTCCGATTACCATCGAATTGGAGTTTTCTTCAATTCAGTGGTCGTTCAGGACACCTGCGATCTTCAGCCGTGTGCACTACGCTCCTACCATCCGGACGACAGAGCAGGGACCACAGTGGGCACAGCACTAGCTGGACTGGAGCAGCACAACACTCAAACCGTAGGACTGCAGGAGGTAGCGAGATGTCGCGAGTGAGGGCTCACACTCGGTGACAGAGGATTTGACTGCATCTGATGAGAAACATCCACTATCCAGGCTGCCGGCTTCTCTTTGTCTCGAATTTGTTTGCCCTTGTCCCTTTCCTGATACCATGCTGCTTCAAGCTTGTTCACGCTGCAATACTGCTATGCATGGACAGGTGCTTCTGATTGACGTACAGCATTTCAACAATTTTTGCAGAAGGACCGGGTCCCTTCGGCAAGAAAAGGCGGCATCGCAGCATGCCGGAAATCAAAAGATTTGGAGCGGAAAGATACGTCTTCAAGCAACATTGATGCATGAGTCATAGCTCTAGTCTTTCAAACTTTCGGAGTGCACCTTTGCTTCCGCCAGCCCGACTGTGGGGCAATACTGTAAGCATCTCTGCTGTCACTGGTCTTCGATCAGCAACAAATGGAAGATCACACGGTGAGGCACTGGTCGACTGCTAAAGCGGTCACCACACTAAAAACTTGTTACATCGTGCCAAAACCCAGGGGCAGCACCGTCGAAACAAAAGGGAAGAGCCATTACCTACCTGAATGCAATTGGTCGAATCGTCCGAATCATACGATCTTCAGTTCTGCCCGCCGCAGAGAAGTCGAAAATTCTGCAGCATGATCATGACGCAGGTGAATGAATTGACTCCTGAATTATTCATCTGCCTCTGGGTAGAAATAATCCGGAGAGTTCATCACCAAGCTCGTAACGCACTCATTGTGCCCCGCACTGACCTGGGCTTCAGCAAGTCCTCAAAGCTCGCGGGCTTTACCAGGCTCAGCAATGACTCTACTTGCGATCGCCAGGCCACAGGAGTGGAGCTGCCGGAGACCTCCGAAGCCGCGGGCTCGCTTGCAGCTAGACTCAGCTAGACCGTGCAGCCGCCTCCACGGAGTCACACAAGTGACCAGGAAGATTGTGCTCACAAGTCTGGCGGTTGAAGTCCCACAGCTTCATGGCCTGACACCGGCTTCCACATCCATAGTCCATCATAGTCGAATAATAGTCCATCATGGGTTTCTGCAACCCTGTTCCTACGTCCCTAGCATGATGCGGCCGATCGAAATTACAGGAAGGGCACCTGTGGCGAGCCACACAAAGCCTTTCCATGTTCCCAGTCCACCGACATGGTGGTGACCTCGAGTGAGGAACTGCTAAGCTCGAAAGTGCAGCTCACAAACCTGCATCAGGCTGCATCCCATTCTAAGGTAAGGTTGTCGAAAAGAACGTGCGTATAGTTCGATAGAACGTACGTGTGGTTTGGCGGAACTTTCGAAAAATGACGACTGTAACTCAATGCACAGAGAAACCGGCGAATAGGAAAATTACACAGTCAACCGACGCTAATTGAAGCATGCTCTTGCCTGTGTGAGGGTCCTGGAATGCGATCCTTTCCTGTTGTTGTGGCCTGTGCTTTAGTTCTCTACTCATTTGGAGCTGAAACCGCCAATGAGTCCTGCCCGACACTGGGGAAAGCAAGAGAAGCGTTTATAGAAGGCTTTGCCCTGAAAAATCTCGGGGTTGCGGGACTTGTTTAGTCTCTTCTTCCCGCGGGGAAGCGTTCACTTCTGAACTTGTTTATGGACGTTGCAGGGCTGCATGGGAAGGCTGCAGGGGCCGAGAAGAGTTTGCGTCTGGCGAAGGGCGCTGTGTGGGCACCGAGCATTCCACGGCGCGACGCTGGGAACGGAGAAGCCGTTCGCCACGCGACGGAAAGGGGGCCGGGGAAGGCTGTGGGCGCCGAGATGCGCCGAGCCTTCGCGGGGCAAGGCTGCCGTGGACGGGGACGGGCCAGGAAGGCTGGGTTCTTGTTTAGTTAGATCTTCCCCCCACGCACAGCAGCGTTCAATTCCAACGTTTCTGTGGGAAGGTTTGTAGAAGGGCTTGTAGAGCATCATGGGTCCAAGGCCTCATCTGCATCTGCCATCGAGGCCATATTCCTGTGTTTGATGCCTCAACAAAGCCTCACAAGAGATGTATAACATCTGCTCAAGCATGTGGGGAAATGCATTTCTAAACAAAGTTTGTCCCGCGTCTCTCCCAGTCTAACACAGTGCAGTTCAGTTTCGGCCACGCTCTTGTACTGTCAAAAGTGTCAGAAAGCTCAGGCGCAGGCCGCGCTACCGTGGACTAGCAGTACCAGGCATTCCTGAGCAGCGGAGCGTTCTGGTGCCTATTCGTGCACTGGAAGCCGCAGCAGCTCACGGCGGCCTAGCTGAGCTCCCAGCTTGTGTTTGCAGATCCCAGAGCCGCACCGTCCTGTCCCAGGAGCTGCTCAGTGCGCGGCCTTCACGGGCGCAATGGACACTTGAGAAAGGGATCGGAGATGGACGCCGGCCGGCCTTCCCTAGCCTGGAGCGACACGGCAGACACACCATTGGTATGTCCACGCAATGTTGCCAAGCCTGATGCTTCGAGAGCAAGGTGATGCATCTTAGCCAACCTCGTCATTGGCGAACTTCTGAGCCAAGAAACAATCACCAGTAGTCAAATTCCAGATGCGCAGGGTAAAGTCCTGGCACACCGGCTTCTAGTATGGCTACTGCGAAGCTTGCTTGCCCAGTTGGGCCTAACCTTGGGAAAGATGCGACGAAAAGACAGAAGACGGTCCGCGGATCCACTCAAGGCCGTGTTTCGGGACCAATCCACATCTGTGCACCAAACCTGGCCAGAATCGCGTGGTGCAGTGAGTGCATGTGCTGTACATAAATAGGCTGGCTGATCTGCATGGCTGGGCATAGGCACTCGCACTCGATGCAGTCTGTGCTCTGGAGAAAAATTAAACGTCCAGCAAAAGAATCCGTTCGAACAGTGCTATAGATGCACCTCGTCTTGGTGTCCATTCAGAGACCGGATGCAACTTGACTCTGCGCCCAGATCCCATAGCTTCAGCGTACCTCATGTGGCATGCATGAGACGGGCACGACCGCAGGTGCAACAAGGGCTGCAGAAGCCTGAACGCCGCTCACGTGTTGGATTCACTTGTCGGCACTGGCGGCGGTCGCGTTGCTCCACGGTTGTACCCAGAGCAACAAAAGATAAGAAATCCTCTCCTGCGATCTGTCGCAAGCACGTCAGAGGAGCTTCCCCGAGAAACCATAGCACAGCTTTCTCTGAGGCTTCCGTAGATTCTACTCAACAGAGAGGATATTGGTCTCAGTCCGGACACTCTCTGCGAACTCAAGAAGTTCATGTCAAAGAATGCTCACGGAATCTTGCAATCCACGGATGCTTGTCATATGAATTCATGCTTGGTGCTCCAAATCGGCTTTAGGAAGATGTCGAGTTTGAAGTCGGGAAGCACCGGAGGGAAAGGACTTGGGATGGGATCGATCCCATGTGAACAGAATCGATAAAGATTCATCACGTTGCTCAAACATCTACAGGAGAACCAACCGGCAAAACACACCGATGCCGAGCAGAAACCATGTGCCACCCGGCACAAGAGACCCAATAAACACGAACACAAAAGCCTGAACCAACTGAAACGAAGGACGCAGAATCCATTTAATTTTTGGAGCAACACTCAGACCCCAACCGACAGGAGACGTCCAGAAGCTGGAATCGTAGCTAGTAGTCCAACAAAAGCAAGTCAAATTGCTGACAGTAGTTGCTCAAGAATCAGAAATGAAATGCAAATGAGCAAAAATGTAAACCGTCAAGAGCACAACCAATGATAATTAAATTAAAATAAAGACTGAGCACAAGAGCCCAGGGCACTGTCTGGAAACAAGGAAACTTGAACGCACAGAACTGCAGACGAGTCTTCATAAAGCAGGATCACTGCAATCAACACAGGGCGATGCGCAAGAATCGATTCCAAACTTTGGCTGTCCCTACTGGTACCTTCTGCTTACTTGCAAGACTTGAGACAAACAAACCGGCACATCGGCAGGAAACTTGCTAAGCCCATTTTGTGAACGGCATTGCTGGGCGTGGCGTGAAGAGTTCCCCAGACCTTGAGAGTGTTGACTCCATGTCAGTTCAGTAACCCTGTGAGGCATCAGGTCGAAGCTGGACCAAGCGCAAGGGCGGCAGAACTATGCAGACAGACTGACCATGTTCCACTACGTCCATATTATATCTCATACTCACTGTACTAGCCAGGGCACCATCACATGAACCGCTCAAAGCACGACGACGGGGCCAGTGAAGCCTTCATCACTCTGCACCACTTTCGCACAGGTAGAACTTCAAAAGGGGCAGCAGATGCGGTGCCTGACAACTTTGACCATGCCAGTGTGGCCCGTGAAGGTGCCGAGGCATGCCTTGCGGAAGCTTGCACAAGCTTGCGATCTTGGAGCCTAGACAAGGCATCACTTCAGCAGAAGAACGCCAGTCTCGCTGTCCCATATCTTCACTTGTTTGTCCCATGAACCTCACAAGACTCCTTCTCGAAGCACGATGTCTTCAATACCAGCTTGCTACCCTGCCTGTGAGAATGCGGCCGCTGGTGTAATCGAAATCCAAGCCTGAACGTGCTAGGCACCGAAGCGGTGTCCATATTTCGTGGCAAATCCGGCACAGGACTAGCCTACGATACCTTGTAAGCGAACGACAGAAGGCAGGATGGCCATCCACTTGGAAAGCTTGAACCTCAACAGATTCAGGTGGCAGCATGCAACGTGAACTATCAAAAGCTTCGGCCATCACACAGATGCAGTGATCCAAATCCCATACGCGAAGGGTGCAGTCCTCAGTGACGTCGGGTTGAATAGCTTGGGTTGTTCCATATCCCGTTTTCTACTCCTTTCGCCGTTTGACCCTATCTGATTATCTGGACAACTACCATTTCCACAACTTGCCATGCTTGCTCTGCCACGTACAATGAAACGTCGGTACCAAGCTAGACGCATTGCCGTTGAAGAAAGCTTGTCCATGGGCAGTGGGGCGCGGTGAGGTCGCTTTGGCCCACCACGGATGCTCTCTAACCAGCACCCGGCACCACACGCTCTTCCTCTCTCTCCCTCATAACATTCTGGTTTCATGGACATTGTCATCTGGACAACTCTGAATCGTGCACACATGAACCATTTCCATGAACCATGCTCGGAAGCTGGAAGCTGGCAACAAAAAAATCAAAAGCATGAGCACACTGGCTCGGCAATCGAGCGGCGAAGACAAGAAAGTCTGCGGAGGGGGGGGGGGGGTTAGGGGCTAAGCACGGCTGAGCAGAGAACGTCCTTGCCACCATGACTGTGCTCACAACCACATGCTCACTAACGTCGCGTGTGCTGGCCTCAAGCTTTCTCGCTCAGCACTGCGAAGGACGCGTTATACGCGTTCGGATAGGCTCGATTTTCGGGTTTGTTTTCGCCTGTGCCTTCGAGGAAGCGTTGCTTCGCTTTGGCGGCCTACGTGGAATTCCCCTTGTGTACCATCGACCTGTTGCGCCACATCCACACTGAGCTCCTTCAGAGAAGTGGCAATGGTCACCGTTTTTTTCGGTCTTTTT